AAGATTTGTTTTAAGCCCCTATCAACACAATTTAGATCAATTAGAAAGCTAGCCACTTCGGCCCTGAATGGCTGGGACAACCCAGGGGCTGAAGAGATACTGCTAGAACGTTCATCCAGACAGGACGTGGAGATAGGCTACCCATGAAAAAAGCATAATACCCTTTAAAAGGTTTTGCCGGTACGGGACTTGAACTCATGCCTTTTGCTTGTGAGAGCGAAGCGCCTAATCACTGCAGACCCCAGACCCCGGTCACTCGGTCACCCCATTATGTGGCCTTTTGTCGCTGCAGAGCTCTGAACTTTCAGCTGTTCAGATGGATGAATGGGCCGTCAGCTGGGATGACATTTGAGGGCAAAGCATTTCTCTGTCAGCTGAGTTCGTGAGGTCAACAACTGTGAGGTTGCCTAATAGCTCCTGTTACTTGTTTCCTCTTCTCTTTACGAGGTCGTCATTCGGGCTGGGCAAGCACTCATTTACTAGTGAACCAGATTCGGGCGATTTTTTTAAACTAGTAAGCATTCTGAAATCATGTATTATTATTGTGGGAAGCTGGCTCTTTTGAAACTTGAGCTCGCAAAATATTATATCCAATTCTGCGAATGATTATTCCAGACATCCAGCGTTGAAAAATGATTAGACTAGATATCCAGTGCTCAGAATTATTATACCAGAATGCCAAGGTTGAAAATGATTACACGAGATATCCAGTGTTGAAAACAATTATACCAGATATCAAAGAAATAAAGCTGTTCGACTACATTTGACATGATTGCTTTGTATTTGTTTGGCTTTCTGTTCACGAAATAGTTGGTATTCAATCTCATCTCAGTCTTATATACATTGTATGTTCATTTTGCACCTCTGCACTGAAACGGATGAGTGGCTTGGTTTGAAAAAATGAGTCACACGAACAGAGAACTCACCGCTTCAAAAGGAATTTTTTGAAGAGCTATTACTATTATCATTATAAACATTAGTAGCAGTAGTAATAGTAGTGCTGGTAGTACTACTACTACTACTACTACTACTACTACTACTACAGTAGTAGTAGTAGTAGTAGTAGTAGTAGTAGTAGTAGTAGTAGTAGTAGTAG